GGTGCTATATATATGAATACGTGTGTGTGTGTTTGTGGATGTATACCTATGTTTGTGTATATATATTTTTTGTTTGCTTGCTTTTCTTTCTGATGCTAAAGATTTTAAGCAAGTCCTTACTGTGGTGTGACCGCGGCTATCATTTTTGCCAGAGGCAGCTCAGATCGCTGGCAAAAAAGCGTGTGAGAGAATGAAAGATGTCATCAGAAGAGGGGTGGACCGGCAGGTCGACGAGGGCATGTTTGAAAGGGCTCAAGAAAGGATGCAGCACCAATTTCAGCAACTGAAGGTACACTGCATCCATAGTCTGGGCCCCTTGGGGGAGCCAAAGAAGCGGGTACAGAAGATGGGAGAAGTAGTAGTCACTGGGACCCATGTAGAGCCGATGCCTTCTGCAGAGGGGGCCCAGCCCATGGCCATGGCCAGGAGAGAAGGCCAACTGTCACTGGGCATTGTCCCTTCACTGCCCCCGCATGCTGGTGTCGGGGTCTCTATGGGGCTGTGACTTCAGGAATGCAGCCCCTCCGCCTCTCTCTCACGTCTTTCCTCTTTACTGGGTCATCAGTAGAACCACTGTGATAGCCAGATGGGGGTCCTAAGCTCTTGACATACATTAGCTCATTTAACTCCCCCAGTAAGCCTGTGAGGTAGGGACTATTGTTGTTCTCATTTTACAGATAAGAAAACTGAGGCAGAGAGAGAGGTGTAGCAACAGGCCCCAGAGCTACGAAGTTGCAGCGCTAGGATTTGGGACTAGATAACCTGGCTCCAGGGTCTCCAACAATAGCATAATCTCTAGACAGAATTTTCTTTTTTTAATGAGGGAAATGTCTAGTCTACATAAAATATCAATCAATAAATAAATGCCAGTAAACTATTATAGGTCAGTCAGTTATGACACCTAGCAGAGATTTATGTTGGATTCTGTTTATCTCAGAAAACAGTTCCTAACAATTTCCTTGAACCTAAAGCATCTGTCAAGGACCCTTGGGCCATCTTGTCTCAGTTCTGGGTCTCTTTCCACACCACCACCCTCCCAAGTAATAAAAATTCTTTGTTTTAGTCCAAGACACTGTTGGTCCCTCCTGGCCACATGTGTTCCCAAATTCTTCTGCCTCGGTTGGGACTTAGTTGACCCTCTTCTAAGCAGCTAAGGAACCTGGCTAGTTTTTTCCATTCACCTCTGAACCAACCTACTTCCTGAAATGTTTCCAATCTGCTTCTGCTCAGCCCTGTGCCTCCATCCCCGCCCCACTGCAATTTTGGAAAATACCTTTCTCCACAATATGAAGCATATAATTTCTCTTGGAATAGGCTAAGAGGCATCTCGTTTGTAAACCCCCTTTCCAGCTCCTTCTCGTTTTGGCGGTCCCATTGTTTTTTTCTGGTGGGGGGCACTGGAATTTTGTAAACTTCTGCTTAATTCACTCATTAGATTTTCTGAATAATAGTTATCTAAATATTGAGAGTGTTGATTTTTTTTCTATCATGTGATTATTAAACAATTTCCACTGTGTGGAAAACGGTGCTATATATATGAATACGTGTGTGTGTGTTTGTGGATGTATACCTATGTTCGTGTATATATATTGCTCTGCAATATATATATACAATATATATATACTGCAAATACTTGCAGATAATTGGCCAAACCCTATAGGACCCTGTTCCCATTGGGTATATAGAAATTGGCCCTTAAGGAGCCCCCCAAAAACAGTTCCACTAAAAAAAAAGTGATTTGTACATTGACTATGTACAAATGCTTCGTAAATGACAGAAGTGTAGGAAGTTGAAACTGGGCAAGGCCACATAGCGTCCCCATTCCCTGATCTTATGGACAAGGGGGCTGAGGGCCTGCATTACTAGCTCAAGGCTCACAACTAGAGCTGAGACTAGAGCTTAGGGTTCTTGGCCTGGTGTGTTGAAGAAAAAAAGCAAGAGTCAGTAGATCCACGCTTAAAACGAGGCTGTGTCAGGCTAGAGGGAAGAGTCAGGTATTTTTCAAAGGTAGTCAAGAGATGGTTAGAAGAGGGGGAAAAGGGTTTTCATTGGTTGTAGGACTGAAATCAGAAAGAAGGCGTATCTCAGGCAGCTGAGACGGAGAATCAGGAAGGTCAAGTGTGGTGTGCTGCACGAAGCAGGTACTCAATAAACATCTATCTCGTGACTAAATGAACAATAAGATGGTGGCTAGTGACCAGCACTTCTCCTCTTTTTCCATCTCTGCAATTGCTGTTATCTCCCCCACCTCCATGAAGCCTCCTTAGCTCCTGACTCAGTTGGTCAGCACCAGAGGTCCAATCCCACATGAGTCTTGATAGGCAGGAAAGGAGATGCTGAGACAAGTGGGATCCCCCAGAAATGTTGCCCTGATGACTCCCGAGCCGTTCACTGTACTCTAAGGTGGCCCACTCTTGGACTTGACTTTGATTTTGGCAACCCCAGTCTGTACACTCTCTGGTTGGGGGATTAGGTGGGGTCCCTTTCATAAGCTAACCTTTCCCTTGGGCTGTGCCATCCTAACAGAATGACCCTGCTTTATTGTACAGAATGGAATCACGGAGAAGGTGAAGGGCAGTATTGCCACCATGCTGACCCTTGCTTCATCCCAGGGGGATGGTCTCTACAAGGAGCTTGCAGGTAAATTCATGAAACTTTTGCATAAGCGGTGACCTTGCAGACACCCCTAGCTGTGGTTGCCCTTTGCTGGATTTAAAGAAATCAAGTTAGGAAGAATTTCCAGGGCATGGAATGGAGAGGATCATGACTGCCCCGCCCTTGCGGAGCACTCACTGGAGACCACACATTATACTCAGGCTTTGTGTGCAGCATCTCATAGCATTCTCACGTTAGCCCTCAGAGGGTAATGTTGCATTTTGCAGGTGCAGAAACAGAGACTCAGATTCAATAACGTGCCCAAGGATCCATAGCTGGAAAGTGGCAAATTCAAATCGATAACTCCGTTCTGCAGTCTCCATAAACCCATTCTTTGAAGTAATCCTTCTCATGAAAAGCCTCATTTTCTGGTGGTGGTGGAGAAGGGTTTCTCTTTGTCTACTAGGAGGCTGGGGATGCATTACCAGCTGCCCATGCCTTGTTGCATATAATCATCTCTCTTCCATGCCGTGTGCTCCCCCAGACCTCCTGGTGTAAACCGGAGAGTGTAAAAAAGTGCAAAAAGCAATCGGGAAATTTCTAGCAAAATTAAAAATGCACGTATCCTTCGGCCCAGCAATCCTACTTCCGGGAATTTATCCCATGGTACCCTCATACATGTGCAGAATGGCACATGGATGAAGTTATTCAGGGCAGCATTGCTTATGATGTCAAACATTGGAACAACTCTAATCTCCATCAGTAGAGCCCTGGTTAAGTTAACTTAGGTACACAACTAGTGGAGGACCATGCAATTGTTAGAAAGAATAAAGCGGCTTTTTTTATGCAGAGTAGCTGTATGAAACCATCTCCAAAATATATTGTAAGGTGAAAAAAGGCAGAGTGAAAAACTGTGTGTAGTATGTTGCCATCTGTGAGGGAAGAAAAGGAAACACATGTATATGCATAAAAATCTCCTGAGATACACAAGAAACTGGCCACACTGGTTGTCTCTAAGGAGAGGAACCTGGAGCCTGAAGGACAGGGAGGGTCCTTATTTTGCACTCTGTATGTTTTGTGCCTTTTATTTTTATTTTTTTAAAGATTTATTTATTTATTTTAGAAAGAGAGCGAGCATGCGTGCATGAGCATGAGCGTGAGGGGGAGGGGAAGGGGCAGAGGGAGAGGGAGAGAATCTCAAGCAGACTCCGCACTGAGTGTGGAACCCGATGCAGGGCTCAATTCCACAACCCTGAAATCATGACCCTGAGCCAAAATCAAGAGTTGGTCACTTAACTGACTGAGTCACCCAGGCACCCCTGTTTTGTGCCTTTTAAACTTTAAACTGTGGGCACAGTTGCCTGCTGGAAAAAAATAGATCTGATGTCCTTGCTGTATGTCAGAGTGAAAGTGGTCAGAGCTATTTCCAGAGTAAAAGCCACATTGCTGCTTCTAAGCATCTGTCCTACACTTGTCTCTTGCCCTGGAACTTATTATTTCCCATCTCTGGTTGGTAAGATGGACCTCTAACCTGTTCCTAATGATCTCTCAGGAAGGTGCTATAACTCCCTCACCCTATACTTTATTGAACTATCTCTTGACCTTCCGACTAGGACTTCACAGGAAACTATTACAAGATTATAGTCATCCAGGAATTCTTAATCTCAGGAAACAAACTGAGGGTTGCTGGAGTGG